TTCCCGGAGGACCATCAAACAAACCAGAACCCACTGTGTGGTATCAGTGTCTAACTCTCTCCATCTCGCTCTTATAATACCGTTTCTCCTTGCTTCTTAATACTCTTTTAGTCCCAATTCATTTAACTGAAGCTGGCTTTAGAGATGGATTGGCTCTCCTCCTCTAAATCCAAGCATGTTAATATAAAATTCAGAATTTCTGTATTATGTCAAGGAGCCATTGATATAAGACAGAAGAAAACAAAACTAGGGACTGTCATCTGTTTATACTCGGTTCCGTTTCTGAAAGTCTAATCTCCTTCATGTTTATTATCTTCCTTATTGTTGCCTTTCCCGGTATGCATGCATATAAAAGCTGGAAATTTCTCTGTTAACATTAATGTTTGAGTTTCCCAGAGAACAAGGAATTTCCTGACAGCAGTCTTCAATCACTTCGGAAAGAAAATGGGGCCCCAATTCATCAACTCTACCTGATTCGACTTGATGTGTCTGAACTGCCCCACATCATTGACTCCTCCTGACGGGTACCATCCTGAAACCGGTTTGGAACTACATTGCTCGACACAGCTCTGGAAATGAACTGATAGGTGCACCTTCTACACTCTGGCCAGAGCTTCAGACAAGAGCTTCAATCAACATTAGAACTTCAATCAAGCATTCCTGCCAAACAGAGACTATTTAATCTACTTAAGATTCTTGTTACACTAACATTTTCTTCCTACAGGTTCCTATGAGATTGTCGTCCCATTTCAGCAGGAAGTAATTTTGGGAATACTATGCCCCCTTTCCCTACTGTTGATAGTTCAGGACAGTTTACACCTGTTAATGTTAGTTTTCAATTATTTTAGGGTTGTGGATTGGAAGGTTTTCAGACTTGGGCATCTCTTTCAGATAAGTTTAGGATTTAGATGGGGTAGATATGCTTAGTTTAGGATATAAGTAGATTATAAATTGCTTATCACCTTCTATGTATATATGTTGCATATGTTTGAGTTTTGTATCAAGTTTAAATCTCTTATTTAGACTAAAAGGGGAATTGTAAGGGAAAGCTCACATACTCAAGATACTGTCCACGCCCCCAAGGGGGGTGGAGTGGGGTGTGGGACAGGGAAAGCAAGATCTCTCTCTTGGATGCTGGCCACATTTCCGAGGGCTTCCAGCTTCTCGTGTAAGTGTTAATAAATGCCCTTGTTCTCCCTTGCACTGATTTCCTTTTCATGTAGGTTCATGGGTTTGTGCATTATCTAAAAGCCAGTTTGCTCTGGGATATCTAACCCTTTTGGGAGCCCTGCACCCATTTTGGAAATAACATCTGACACCAAGTAGAGGGAAATGGCCACCCTGGGATTCCCTGAGGATGCTGGATGTTTCCTGAGTATCAGTGTCCTGCACTAGGAATTACTATGCGGACTGAATCATAAAGTTTTCCTTCCTCTGTATTAAGGGGTGAACATGGCAGGTGCCTCCTATTACCTCCACCATGTTTTCTCTCTCCTCACTGTCTTGAAGGTGGGGTTTAAACGAGTTCACCAGACCCACAATAAATGATAAATAGGTTTTTTATTGGGGAACAACTTATACAGATAAATGACCGCAGGGGCCAGAAGAAGCAGTCTCTGTCCTTCCAATGAGACCCAAGAGAGCTGTGTACCCCCCAACCTTAAAGGGGTCATGTGGTCACATGAAACCGCACCCAAAGGGTGTGGCCACTGCTACAAGTTCACTGGCAAGGCAAGATGCCACTACACTGTCTCCAGTCTCTGGACTCCAGAAAGCACTCGTAAGCAGACATCTAACTTGCACTCTCTTATTCTTGCACCCTACCATCTGAAAGAAACCACAAGTCAGCACCATTTCGGGCTCCCTTTTCCCACTTTCCTCAACAAATCAGAGGCTAACGCAATGCGTAGCATCTACACTTTTTTGGTTTTTGTTTTTTTTTGTTTTTTGTTTTTTGTTTTGTTTTACAAGACAGGGTTTCTCTGTATTGTTTTGGAGGCTGTCGGTCCAGTCTGACCTCGAACTCACAGAGATCCGCCTGCCTCTGCCTCCCGAGTGCTGGGATTAAAGGCGTGCACCACCATTGCCTGGCTGCATCTACCCTTTTTTTTTTTTTTTTTTTTTGTTTGTTTCTCCTCTGTAATCCCTCTCTTATGGAGCAAGTTTTCCTGTGAAGACAGCTGGGCTTTCTGTTGCATGTCTTATTGTCAACAAAAAAGCCCTCATAACTGACATCAGAGTCCACACATCCTGTCCCAAACGTGCTGCTTCCTGGGACATTGCCCCACCCACCAGGGCTTTCAGCATCGTCTCCATCCTCGCATGGCAGACTCTCAGGGAGGCTGCCACATGGGACCAGGTGAGGAAGATGGGCCACCCTAGGATTCTCCCGCTTGCTCCTCTCTCTGGCGGCTTGGCTTACTGCCCGCTGCTGGGAGCATGTAATCACCACAGCAAGGTAACACACCATTCCACACCACATGGTGTTGTGCCGGGTTTACGGAGCCCAGAGACTGACCCAAGGAGTCGACACTCTGATGTGAAAGCAAAAGGTTTCTTTTCATGGTTCAAGCTGCCCAGCTCAGATCTCACTCCATGGTGGAGGAAATGAGATGCCCACCAGCCAAAAAGAGAAGCTTTTAAAGGGGCAGACCATAAGGTTGAAGGCCTCAAATTTCAGAGTTTCCATGGTTACTTAAAGTCATGCAAAGTGCAGAGTAAAGCAGTAACTACATATTTTAAGCAAGATACATTTGAGTGAGATAAGACAGGGCGTGGGCTTGCAGAGTTATGGGGTCACAGGGTCTGTTAGTTATCCCATGGAGGGGGAGGGATCTTTCCCACTGACAGGGGACCGTTATGACCAGCAATCAGCAAAGGAGTGGTGGACAGTTACCTCCCCTTCTCTGAGAGCAGGGGCTCAGGCGCCAGCCATGACACTCCTGATTTAAGGAGTTAAATTTTCCTTTACCATTAGAAGTTCCCTTTCTCTGTGTAGATTTAGGGCCCAAGTTTTAAATTTTTATTAATTTTAATTTATATTAATATTAATTTAATTTTTGGTCCTTCAGTGGGAAAGGTAGCCATAATGGGATCATCTCTGCATATACTCCAGTCTCACAGGGACCAGTGTCATCCATGTGTGCCACTCACCAGCCTCCCCCCCCCCCCACAGCATCCTTGGCTCTGCCAAGTCCCTTTTGAGGTACCAATTGTGATGTGGAACTTCCCTTGGGGAAATTTCCTATTTACCCCAAATAGGACACCAAGACCAACACTATACTAAAGAAAGACGACTGTCCAAAGTGTCTACGCTCACTGAGGCTGCTGATCGAAGTTTAGGTGAGGGGTTGGTTACAGACACAGGAGACTCAAAGACGTCATTGAAAAGACTGCGTTAGCATGGGTGTGACTAATGAGAGCTGTGTTCCCAGGACTCCATGAAGGACCTGCAGGCCTTGGCCAATTAGAGAGGCTCCCATCCTACAACTGCACTGGCTAATGTGATACAGCCCTGGGCCTTTCCTGTACTTCCGGTGTCTTCTGAGCCACCCTGTCACTCTAGGAGGACAGCAGATACATGGCATGCTCCAGCGACAGAGCTCCTCAGGCTGTGCCACGCAGACTGACGTCTCTTCACCCATCTGGCCTCTGGAAGCACAAACGTAAGACACTGGCAGGTTCTCCATTAGTTCTGTTCCCAGAGGGCCTGGTCTTGACTTCCAAGATGGTGCGCTGTGGCTGTGTCCCTACACAGTCCAAGGCTTCTTCCAACATGGAAAACGAGCGGAAGGCTGGAAGGGGCCTTGGTACCTTCCCGCAGCTCCTTCACAAGGCCCCAGCCCCAGCTGTGAGGACAAAGGCTGCAGGGCCTAACCACCACCTAGAGGCCACACTCTTGGGACGTCTGCACTGTATCAAGTTTCAGCATGCATTTGGGAAGGAGCACAAGCCCGCCAGCCACAGCGGGCCTCTAGACAATGAAAACCAGGCGAGCTTGATGTGGCTACTCTTGTGAACTATGGATGTTCTGTGAGGGGCTGAGACAGGAATAGATATTTGGGGGCTGGAGGGCTGCTCGGGTGAAGAACACTGCAGATTCTGGGGTTTAATTCTCAGCACACTCGACAGGTCACAGCTGCTTGCAATCCCAGTTCCTGAGGATGTGATGTCCTCGTCCGGTCTTCACAGATATTGTAAAATCATGGCACACATAAAAACACACACACACACACACACACATGAATAAAATAAATACTAATAAACAGATACTCAGTCTAAGCACCTGGTTCCTCACAAAGCCCTGAAGCCCTGGAGAGTCACAGAATGTCCTTATTGTTCCTGATTCCACTTTAAGATTACCCGAGGAGTTTGATGTCACACAGATGATGGGGCTGGTGGCCGTAACTAATCATGTGGTGAGAAAGCTGGGACTTTTGGATCTGTCCTTTGAGTGCTTGACCTCAAGAGAATAAATACAAGACTGGAGCTGAGTTAGTCTCCAACAGCCGATGATTTAATTATGCCTGCGTAATCAGCCTCCTTAGAGACCTTGAATGGTAAGGTTTGGAGAGGCAGATTCTCAAGTCTGAAGTGTGGTTTGCTCCAACTCTAGGAGATGAAGAGTCATCTTCTTCAGTCTAAGTCAGGAGGCTGGCACACTTTCCATACAGAGGTCAGTACTTTCATATTGGGTCCTATATTCTTACAACAGCTGGTGCATTGACAAGAGTAGCCATAGTGAACACACAAACAAAGGAAGCAAGTGGCTAGGGATCTGGTCAGTGGAATGTGCTTGCATATCTTTGCTCTAAGGTAGCTTTAAACCAAGGCCCTACTGCTGGTCATTCTGTTTCTTAAACAAAAGCAGAGACTGACTGGACAGTACTTACCAATCCATTTCAACAACTACTGCATGTCCTTGTCTATGAGAAAAGAAACTCTCCATTCGTTATGAATCCCTGAAATACAAGCCCAATGAGTAATTTGAGGCCCAGCAATTCAGAGACCATTTTATTCTCATAGCACATTCATTAACCAATTTCAAATGAAATCTATAAGCTGGTCAATTACAGGTTCAGAAATGATTAGAATAGACCATAACTATAAAAAACACTATGAACCTTTAAAAATCAACAAAAAATAAAATAACCATTTAACTGCATATTTGTAGCTTAAGAAAAGTCTATCATCCTGTCTTCTGCTGAGATGGATTCCACATTCTTTACCTTGATAGGAATAGGTTCCTCCCTTTTGAATCATTTACAGGCTTTTAGCATAAACTCCAATGACTGAGTAAAAATATATCACTATCAGCAAATGCAATGTTTATGTTTTACTTCCTGTAAATTTAGAAAAAAATTTACAGAAGCAGATACTGAAAAGTGATTCCTTAAAGCCAATAACAATTACTTTAAATTTTAATAGAATACCAATCATACTTCAAAATCTCCTAGTCTATACCACACCCCTCCAAGGCTTGGGGAACATGGGGGAATAGGGGGAAAAGACTGTAAAAGTCAGAAGTTCAGAAAGCCTGGATAAACCGACATCCATGATACACCAGGACTCCTGCACGGGCGATTCCACAGCAGCGGAGGCTGCCTCCACAAGATACAACAGTCAACATCCCAGCATGGAACCAGCAGGGACTCATAATCCCCCAACCCTAACTGAGGAGCTACTGACAGTTAATGGCCTCTGGCGAGGGAGTGTTGGTTTCCTTTAGGGGTGTGGTCCCTGGTAGATGAAGCCCCACCAGTAAGCACATGGGCAGCACAAATGAGATCACTCAGTGGGTTATTTAAAACACAAGAACGTGGAGTTGGGAGCAGGGATGGGGATGGACCTGGGAAGAGTTAGGGGGAGAATGTAATCAAAACACATTTCATGCATGTACAAAATTCTCAAAGAATTAATAAAAATCATTCTATCGAAAACTTGCCTACTCTAAATCCTAAAGACTTAAAGAAACATTTTCTTCAGTTTAAACCAAAAGGCCATTTTGGTTCCTAGTAGGCAGGAGATCTAGCAAATAAGAGATAACATTACAGAACTTCATGGCACGTCCGTGGCCAGGCTCTTTCCTGTATAAGAAAGACTTCTAAAATGTTATCTAGGAACACTCTTTAAGATCGTGGGTTTATTTAGCTTATATGCTGAAAATTCTGTTGGGTATCTCAAAGATCCACAATTAGTGCAAAAAAAAGAGATGACATGAAGTCATTCTTTCCTAGCATAAACAGATTTCACGAGGCTGTGAAATCGTGTGTAATTTCTTGCTTTGCTTTCTGAAAGCTAGCACATACAAAAATAGATTGACATTAGGATTAAGTCACATATATTATAATAAGCTTTATTTTAACTGCAAAAATATTTTAGCCACATTTAAAGGAAAATAAACTTACTGAGACTATAAACTGCATATCTCTAGAAGCCAGATGTAAGAATACTGATTATTTTTCTTGTCAGTGGATACATGCCCCACACTTCCGGCAGCCATTTTGTAGGCGCGAGCACAGGGAGCACTCACGGCTCCTGTGTGGAGCGCGCGCTGCTGCCCCACACTGCTCCACTGGTAAGGCTTTGGCGTAGATCACTCCTGGAGCCCGCTACTTGTCTTTCTTCTTTGCCCCCTTCTTCTCTTCCTCCTCCGCCGGCTTTTCCGTGTCTCCTCTCACATCCGTGCCCGCTGCCCCTCCCTGGCTCTCCTTCTGAGAGCTGTCGATGATCTGATAGTCCTGGAGGAGCGTGTGCCCCGTCTGCTTGGCAGTCTTCTTCACTATGGCCTTGATGCCGATGTTGTCAATGTTGTAGGCGGTGAGGCCAACGTTGATAGCAGAGTCCACTGCGCTGTGTGTAGCTTCTCCCGCGTTGTGCCCGTACCTTTAAAACAGAGAAGGCAGGGACGTAACAACGACACACGGAACTTCTGAAATCAAGGTCAGTGACTGTGTGGCTCTAGTTTGGTTAACAAGTGAAGACAGGGAGAGAATAAAAACCACAGTTACGAAGCTACACCTCCCCTTTCAGCAAAAAAAAAAAAAGTGTGAAGATAAAAGACTAGCTAGAGTAGTAATAAAAATGGTGAAAACCCCTAAATGTAAATCAAAACAAACACTGTTAATCGTTTGTTTAAATCTCCACTTCTCTTCTTGAAGTAATGAATGTAGATGTTCCTTAACCCACAAGCATCACAAATGCATTTGGTATCACAAATGCCCCTTAACCTATACATGTCTAACGGACACAGAACCTCCAGCACCACAGATGCCCCTTAACCTACGAGCGTCTAAGGGACACAGAACCTCCAGCATCACAAATGCTCCTCACCCCACAAGCGTTTGAGCTGCCTTTAAGTGAAAGACCCCAGGCGGGGGACTTTCACGGGAGGGAGACCCGAACCCAAGGAACACCGAGGCCACGAGCTTGGATGCAACAGCAAGAGGCTTTATTGATAATACACGGGTACCCGGGGCATCTCAGTCTCGGGAACTGAGAGCCCCGAGCTGGGGACTCAGGGGTTCTTTTATAGCAAAAAGCGCAGTACAGAAGCGAGAAGCCTAGTTACGGGACCCTGATTGGGTAATTTAAATGAGGCTGGGGCTCAGAACGAGATTTCTCTCATCTGGACAGAGAGGCAATTAAGGTTTCTCTCAGAACTCAATTCTCGGCCTTGGCCCTATCTGAAGAACAAAGGTTTCTGTGCCTGCCCAATCTTTCTGGGCTGGCTATGCAGACCATAGACACCTGGGCCCCTATCTGGACAGAGATAGTAGTGACTATGCAGCTGTAAAGACCTTGAGCTGAGCTTCCTTCTGATCAAAAAAATGACTATTCGGCTGAGCTGTGGGGGAAAGGAATTTTCCATAGGCCTCAGCCACCTGTGCTGGGCCGGGGTCTTTCATAAGTAGACAAGAGACCCTGTGACATTCTCCTGGCACCCCACTCCACTGCCAACTTGCTGGCCCTCTTGCTGTCTTTAAAACTCACAAAATACCACAGAAGCCTTGGCCCTCGGCTCTGTCTGGTCTCTGTCAAGATATGTATGTCACACCTGCGGGCCTCATCTGCCCTGTGCTCGCTGCACCCTGGTTAGTTCTAACCTGCACAGATGGCCTTGGTCCATGCGCCGCATTTCACTAACAAACAAGTCTATCACTGCCCTTTCTTCCTCCATAGCTCACCATTGTCTGTACACCATCGAATGTATTAATGACAACTGTTTACATCTCTGTCTCACTAAAATATAAACCCCACTGCAGAGGGAACCCTGCTTTTTGCACAATTGTACCCTATACTTCTGAGTGTCTGGCATCCGGTAAGTGTTTAATGAATGAACAATGTGATCAGTTGTGGCACTGTCTCCCTCCTCTCTCTCTCTATCCTTCTCCCCGGCCCTCCTTGACGCATGGCCCACCTTACTACAAGCTCAACCCTCCAGCTCTGCCTTCCCCTGCTGGGACCGCAGGCAGGTGACGGCATGCCTGACCTGTCTCAGGTTCTTCACCCACCGTGGAACAGGCCCCTGTACCGACAGCGGTGCACCCATGTTTATCGCTGCTTTTTGCAGGGCTTGGGTGACAGAATCACGTAGGTGACCACTACTGCATGAATGGATACTCGGGTGACAGAATCACATAGGTGACTGTGGGGACACCAGACCTTGAGCAGAAACCCACTTCCCCTTCGGCCTGGGAGCAGGCCTGTGAGATAATGTTTACTGAAAACAATTCAGTGCTATAAAGCTCTTGATAGGGCTCAGATAAGGGCTTGCTCACTGAAACACCATGACTTTGATCCCCCCTACAGCTAGATGCTTCTTCCTGTCCCCCCCTGCTGTGTCTCCCCGATTCTGGGGCCGGAGATTAAACCACCAACCAGGAGGGTGAGAAGTCTGGAAAGAATTGTATGTAGATGGATGACAGACATCCTTAAAAAGGGAAGCTCTTTTTTCTTGGAGAGACTTCTCCTGAGAGATTTTTCTCTCTCCTAAGCGGACTTGGGGTCTCCTCCTAAGCTGACTGGGGAAGCATAAAGTTTTCTTAAAGCAGCCAACCGGTCTCTGTGTCATCTATCCTGACCACCTCGCTACATTCTCGGATGCAGGCCGCACAGCAGGTGCGACCACTACTGCATGAATGAATACTTGGGTGACAGAATCACATAGGTGACCTCTACCGCAGGGGACAGAATCACATAGGTGACCTCTACTGCATGAATGGATACTCAGGTGACAGAATCACATAGGTGACCACTACTACATGAATGGATACGGTGACAGAATCACGTAGGTGACCTCTACTGCATGAATGGGGAAAGAAAAGTGAAAGATAAAGAAACTAATGAGCTTCATCCAGCAACAAGGAAGTGAATTGTTGTTGTAGGAAGGGAGTGAGGAGCATGCTCAGTGAGAGGAGCAGTCTCATACATAGACTGCTGCTGAGTTGCTTCTTGCACACATGGAACCTGAGGTGGTGATGCATTCGAGAGTGAAAAGTAGAGTCCGCTGGGGCTGTGGAAGAAAAGGGGGACAGGAAGGGCAGTACGGGGTGTATTATGTGCATGCATGGAATCGTAATGAAATTTTACTGCTGTGCATGACTAATATACAGCAATGAAAAATGGGAAATTATAAAAGTCTACAAAAGTATTTACTATTGACGGCCATGTGTTCCCTCATCAAGTATAAAGCATGACCAGCACAGGAGAGGCCTCCCATCTGTACCCGATCTTCTCAGCATGGATCAAGAACCCCCAAGTCAGCTCTGATCTTCTCAGCACAGATCGAAAACCCCCAAGTCAGCTCTGATTACTTTTAGAAAACTGACAAACTTAAACTGTCACTAACGAAAAGAGGAGAGATGGGGACAACGGAGGACCTGGAAATCGTGTTCAGAATTGTTCAAGAAACTGGAGTGCTCAGACAAGAAAAAGCCAGAGACAGGGGCAACGGTGCTGTTTAGATATCAGTACAGATCTGTGTGCAACAGAGGAGACCAACAAATTCCTGCACAGATGTCATGCAGATCTGCTTTCACAGACCATGGCATCTGTCATTAGAGTCCATTCCTCACCTCTAGACATGTAAGAGGCATTTAAATCAAACACATTTCACTCTAAACAAACCAGTGCCATCTGAGAGTAAATTTCTTCTGGTAAAACACCGTTAAGCTTATTTTTCCATAACTAGATAGAGATAAAATTCTGCCAGAAGAAGATACAAGCAGACCTAACCTACTGCAGTGATGTCATTCTCCTTAACAAGTCAGAGTGGAGCTAAGGGGCCTCCACGGCTTTAGAAGCTAAGCTATTTAGTGGGCAGCTGCTGCAGGGCAGCAGCTGAGCTCAGCGGGTTAAGTTGCTTCCAGTATTTCTACAGGTCTTCACTTGCCCTAACTGACGCCCAAGTATCAATATACCTGACAAAAAGGTGCAGTGTCCCTACTCCCTCACACCAACACCAGCAAACACCAAGTAAGGATGCTTGTATAAAGCATTTGTTTTCCTCCCAGGCATAATACATATGACACAGGCAGACTTAAAACTCCGTGGGAGAGCAGTGTCTTTCACAGACAACAAGGACAGCTTCTTCGTTACACCAAAATCAGCAGAACACAAATAAATACTTCATTCTACTTTCTACAGTGTCATAAATACAAGGATATAGAAAGATAAATTTAAATAAATAACTAAATGAAGACATTTGCAGATAGCTCTTCTAGTCTCCCATTCTGTTACTAAGCTGTTGCTGGCTCAGTTGACACACTTTGCCTCCACAGGTGCAATGTCTGGGATAGTGGGGCCAAGTCCTCAATCTCCCATGGCCTCTCCCTCCTTCCCAAGACTCTAACAGCATAAACTAAATTACTTAAAAACTTACTCTTATAGTCACAAGTTGAATGCTGGGCAACTCTGCCTTATTTATTTACACTGTGTATCTCTGGAGAAAATAAAGTGACACTAATACACAGCATCACAGGACTGAATTCACTCGGGACCATTATTAAAATACTGTGGGTTTGAATTAAAATGGCCCCGTAGGCTTTGGGGAGTGGTGTTGTAGAGAGGTGTGGTCTTACTGAAGGAAGTGTGTCACTGGGGATGGGTTTTGGGGTTTCAGAAACTCAAGCCAGGCCCAGTGTCACTCTCTCTTCCTGCTGCCTGTGGGTCCAGATGCAGGACTCTCAGCTCCCTCTCCAGCACCGTGTCTGCCTGCCTGCTGCCATGCTTCCCGCCATGATGATAATGGACTGAACCTCTACAACTCTAAGCCAGCCCCAGTTACATGCTTTCCTTTATGAGAGTCCCTGTGGATTCTCCTCACACAACAGAATCCCGAGACAAGTCCCTTGTCCATCACCTCGATCTCCTCACTAAGGACCCACACACTCTGGAGGAAATTCAGCAAGCACTTTGCTGTATCGTGTTACGAAATGACAACCACGTTTTACTCTGTATTTGTTTTCAGCTCTCTGAGTAAACCTGACACCCAAGCTGATCTGTCTGTCGTGTTGCAGTGAACTGAAGGCCTGCCCCACCCTGAAAGAACAATACCATTTAGGATGGAAATTAAATTTAGTGCTACCTAAGCTGAAAGCAATTTAAACAGCAGCAGACTGACGTTCTAGGAATCAGTGCAGAGCACAGGAGTTGTACGAGTGCAGAGGTGGCTCAGCATGCCTCCCTGAGCGTGCGCAGAGCAGGGGCCCTGGGGACAGAGCCTGGGCTCCTACCACAGCTCCTCCCCAGACTGGGAATGTAAACTTTACCTTCTCATGCTTTGGTTCCCTTCCACAGTTTCCTTACAAAACTGTGATAGAAATGTTAAAATTCAATAACACATATGAGAGACCCTCAACACAGTTAAATACACTAAGTATGAACTCAAATAGTACTACTATTAATATTACATTTTTGGATATGCACATTGTGTGCATGTTTGCACGTCCATTCGTGTGGAGGCTTGAAGCTGGCCTGTCCCTTGAACCAGGGTCTCTCACTGCACCCACAGATCTCCAATTCCATCTTGCTGAACTGCTCGTCCAGGGAATCCATCTCTGCATCCCCCTCACGGGGGGCTGCCATGCCTGCCTGTTTTTACGCTGGTTTGGGGGTCTAGACTGCAGTTCTCAGGCTTACAAGCCAAGAACTTTATCCGCTGGGCCATCTCTCCAGCCCACTATTCTCTTTTTCCTAAGTAAACAGTAAGATCTGAACTAACTGGAAGCTCAGCAAACAACTCAGGTACACTCGATGAACACGTGAAATGTCACACTGAAGCCCAGGTTTGTACAATGCACACTGATAAAAGCCCTGAGTTCAAACAAAGAAGACACCCAAAAGCCAGCGTTTGAAATCTGTCCTTAATGACACCTCAGGGTGTCTGGAACCAGGTCTAGTTTAGACTTTCAGTCTTTGTGTAGCTTGTGGTGATACAGTTGACTTGCTCCTCCCACTGACTCAACTCTGCAGGCTCCACCTGCTCCACAACCGCTGACCATAACAAAACCTAGCGTGCCGGCTGACACCAGAGTCCTGTGAGTGACTTCTCCTTTCACAGCTTCTCTAAAGGAGCCGGCCTACTCCCACCTCCGCCCCAAAGCCAGGGCCCAGGGATCTCAGTGAGGTCACAGGGGCTCTTCCTTCTCCTCTTTGGAATGCCTGCCCTCCCGGAGCCCGCACACGGTGCACGTCTGGGGACCCTGGGCCCTGCACACTGTACATGTCTGGACACACTGTGCATATCTGGAGACCCTGTGCATGTCTGGATACCCTCTGCACGTCTGAGCACACTGTGCATGTCTGGAGTCCCTGAGCCTGCACACTGTACACGTCTGGATACCCTGTGCACATCTGAGCACACTTTGCACGTCTGGACACACTGTGCACGCCTGGAGTGGCAGGCTTCTGACCTCCTGTGCTTCCCTGTGCTGGTCCCATTGTGTCTCACCAGCACACACGCTCTCCAGTCAACACAGATCTGAGGAGCTTCCTGTGACAAAGACAGCAGGTTATGAGGTAGACACCGGCTTTATTTAGTCATCTGTCAGGGTGAAGGGGTGATTGAGTCTGACAGCCATCAGCAGGGCACACTGAAGCCAACTCTCTCCAGAGAGCTCAAAGCAGAAAGCAAGCATACCACCAACTATCAGGTAAGCCGTACAGATCCATCTCTGTCCTGTCAACTTAATGTATGGAACAGATGGCGTCTCCAGTCCAATGGAAACGTCAAGTGGTAATCATAACTTAGTAGTCATGGGGCACTAACGCTAATATGGAGCCTCCAATCCAGGCAAGTCTTTATTTTTTTCCTTCAAGCAGACACTGCCGTCAAAATTATGTAGTTAAAAATTAAACATTCTTTGCACTAATGAACATTTATAACAATTAGTAGCATAAATCAAAGCCACAGGAGTTCAATCAGCATACTAACATTTTTCCCTACTTAGGAAACAGTGAGTGAAAAACTGTGCTCACCAGAAATGTAACGAAAAGTAAGTACGTAAATCTTAACCATCATGGAGTGCATTGATGATACAGGGATTTGCTTTTCTCTAAAGTGAAGCTGCACTCACTTGTATCTGACGGTTTGCACGGTTTCTGCTGACACGTTGCTGACGATACATCTGGCCGCACACTCCAATCCCTGCCAGACAGTTGAAAATCCTGTGAATGCATTAAAAGCCAGTGTCACTCAAGGCCACAGCCTGCCCGAGTCTCTCAGGTAGGCCAGTGCTCTCCCAGAAACACAGCAAAGACAACAGAACACAATCAGCCCAGGGCCTTTTGTCACCTTGAACACTACTGGCTGCCACGACCATGGCACCATCCAGAGTGGATTTCCCATCTTTGTCTCTCTTGAGAGACTCTGGAACAAGTTTGCTTCCATGCTTCTTGACGTGTGGGGCAAGCTCTTTGCCGACGCAATTTGCCACGGTGCAGACGCCATCAACTAGCAAGCACAGAGAAAAGACTCAGGGCAAGTGCTCTCCTGATCCCACCACCTGCATCAAGCCAGTTCCCAGACGGCATCCACAACTGCTTTTCTGCATGACCGTCACTGTCCTGTTAGCTGTGCTTGCTGTGCCTACGGAAACCCTGCCCCTCGGGCAGACCTCCGTTAGAAAGAAAACCAGCCACTTTTAGTTTTCTCGTTCAAAGAAGACTCGGGGTCAAAAACAGGCAATCTTACTGAATTGAAGGGAACCTCGGGCTGTGATTCTAAAGCGTCATCGGGGAGACGGACACAGAACCTCGGCCTTGCTGGGCTGCAGGGCTAACTCTGGGGGAGGAGGAGCTGCTTCACAGGTACTCTTCCCTTGTGAGGCTGAGCTGTGGGCGAGCATCTAGCCCAGAGGAAGCACAGGCGCTTACCCAGGAACTGGCTGACTTTCGCTGCTCCTCCAGTTGCCTGCTTGGCTATGTAGAGGCCCCTGGTGACGGCCGGACTCACTTCCACAGGCTTTTCCTCCGGTTGAATGCGCTCTCGGAGTTTGGAAGCGCCTTTCTGGATTGCTTTTCCAGTAAATTCAGCACCTTTGACTAAGCCCCAGCTCACCCAGGAAGCACCTTTCACAGAGGAAATTTAAAATTGCAGATATCAGGGCTAGGTAGACCTTTTAAGTTCTTTAATAACATGAACGGTAAACAAAGCTCAATAGTAGATCTTAAAAGGGTCATGAGAATGCCAGCTGCACACCGACAGCTTCTTTCTGCAATAAATCTTTCTCTATTGAAAAGAGGTTGATTTCTATTTTGTGTGTGTGTTTGCATCAGTGTCTGGGCACCACGTGCATGCAGTACCCAAATAGGCCACAAGAGGGTGGAGATTCCCTGGAGCTGAAGTTATAGGTAATTGTGAGGCACATGAGGGAGCTGGGAACTAAACCCAGGTCCTCTGCAAAGTCGCCAGTGCTCTTAACCCCCGAGCCACCTGTGTGGTCTGACTGAAGCCCTTTCTAATAGGCTTGTTCCGTAGGTCACACATCTTTCTGGACCAGAGTCCTGTGTCCCTCTGTACTGTATCACTGTGAACGGGAATCTGCTCCTGGCCACGCTCCTCTATGATCAGATCCTGATGTTGAATTCTGAACTGGGGTCATTAAGGGCGTATCTGGCAGGAGGAGTGAGGCACTCTTGTCCTTTTTACCTTAGTTTAAGGCAACACTTGCCCTTGTGAAATCCTGAGAAAGACTATCTGAGCCAGAAACCGAAGAACCTGATTTGAAGACTCTTGCTTGCTTTAGGCTCAGGCGGTCACTGGGCAGGGGATCCTGCTCTCTCCATCCTACACCCAACTCCATGACACTCTGTTCCTTTCGGCATGCTGCACCTAATGACAGAATTATGAGCACACCGGAAGAGGCGGGAGAGCCTGGCCCGCTGCCGTCTTGGAGCACCCGCCCATCCTTGGCTTTGCTAATGCTTCCCACAGCCTGAACTAGAAAAGTTATTGCCACAGAGATGTCAAGATGGCAGAGCCTTGTGTGGGAGGGAAGGGCAGTGTAGAAGAGGCTCTGGAGAAACAGAGGGGCAACAGAGAACCCCCTGCTTCTCAGAGACCATGCAGTTTAATCTCCCTTGCAAGCAGATCCAGAGCAGAAGGCTCCAAAACACTAAGCTCGGTCTCTCCAGATCGGCAGCAGAAAACACTGCAAGGTCACCTGAAAATCACAGCTATTTATTCAAAGTGTCAACAATTCAAAGTAGGTTGCAGGAACTAATTAGAAAACTTCCTTTCTCTTATCTCACTCAACCCCCTCTCAATCTCTTACTCAAGGACCACACAGGACGCAGGCCTGGCAGAGGACCAGCTACCACCCAGGTGAGGAGACTCGCATGAGCACAAAGGCCTGAGGATGTCCATCCTAAAATGGGGGGGGTGGAAGCAAGGCCAAGCAGTCAAGAGAATGCTACTCTTCTAAAAGTCCTGAACTTGGTTCCTAGCACCCATGGCTGGCAACTTAAAACCACCTCTAACTATAGCTCCAGGAGATCTGATGCCCTCTTGTACTTCCAAGGATACTGTGGCACACACACACACACACACACACACACACCATACACATAAATGAAAATAATTCTTTAAAAGAAGTGACGGTCTAGAGTTCCTGATGTAGAGGTTGAAAAGTTTAGGGGAACAAAAAGGTTTTCTAATCTGAATTTGAAGAATCAAGACTGACAAAAATCACAAAAAGCAATAGAACAAATAAGTCTATAATTAGGATTATATGAAACAAAAAGGAATATTCCTGTGTGACTATGAAAACTAAATGGAAATGACACGCATGAAAAGTCATTGCTCTTAGGGCAGGCAGACCTGCATACTCAAGGCCTTGTCACCAAGCAAGAGCACAATACAGACAGACAGGGTGAACCCAGAGACACCACAACCAATGGTAAAGACGGTGTTTCATGGCATTGCCTTGGATCCCTTATGCACATGTGTGGCGGTAAACATTCTTTATTTATAGTCACAACTGCATGGGTTGCCCTCAGACAGACAGACAGAAAGACAGACAGACAGACAGACAGACAGACAGAAAACAATGAACGACTGCTGAGTGAATGAGAGGCTGATGGTAATGTTGGCTTATCTGGACCAAAGCTAACCCTACCATTTCTGGACTATTCTTCACTTTCACTGACATAAGAAAAAAATCAATCATTTGTACTTGTACTAAAATAGAAAACTCAAATCATGGCTTCCTCCTCCTGCAGAAGGGAGCTGAGACCTGAGGGGAAACACATCTGACACCCCGATATGTTTTCACTTTATCATAAGAAATAATTTTGGAATACTGATGCTACTATATTTGGGCTTTGAGGAGTGATGGCACACGAGGGTGGGGCTACTGAGTCCCCAGCCACATGCTATGTGTTCCCTCACGCTTTATGTCCCCCCAAGCCTGTCAGTGGCCTGATACCCCTGAAGCCAAAAACTTATCAGACGCCTGGATGCGGCACAGTTCTGTGACCTGGAGACTGCACGAGGTGAGGGTGCTGCTGGGAAGTTCTGGGAGGTTCTGTGGACTAACAGATGAGACCCTACGTGAAGCCTTATTACATCCAAGGGCAGTGCGGGACCGCAGCCCCTGCTGCTGCCCCCCATCCCCCAGCTTCTCACCTACTCCTGTCTGGCAGTCCTATCAGCGGCCCAGAGGAACCGAGGACCCACCTCTGGACTGCCACCTCCTGAGCCACGAAACAACCTCCGGCACTCTGCGGCAGCAGCAGAAAGCTACTACACTTGTAAAGACGAATGAACAGGTTTTCCTTCTCCTGAAAGGCATTTTAGACGCTGCTGTTGTAATGAACACTGCAAAGCTGGGGTTGATATGCAGCAGAGATTGGCTTCTTGTGGCCTGAGACTGGACAGTCCAAGACAGGTGAGGCCTCCCTGAGGATATCGGAAGGAAGCAGGGCAGCCTCCAGGGTCCCTTCCCTCACCAAGGCTCCTCCCTCACAACCCAGGTGCTGCTCAAAGACCTCACTGTCTATTTTGTGACTTCGGGGGGTTGGCACTTCAAAGTGGGGATCTTAAAGGACACAAACCCCAGAGCGTGCTACCGGGAGAGGGGAGAAAGGGTAAACACTCAAGAGACAGGACTATGATTTATGCTCACATCTCTTTGACAGCGGAGGGATCCTGCAAGGACACACCCTGACACAGAAACGGTGACCTTCTCAGAAGCCCCGCCCATCTGTCAGTATTTCTTATTAGTTGTTTAACATACACAGATCTACAAGCGACACTCCCACTGGTGTAAGGCGTGACGCTATGGGCTTAACCAACCGCCCTGTGATACCTGACAGAATGTTGTGGGCCACTTTCTCGCTCCACTCGGGTAGTTCTTTCGATTTTTCTTCCGCACTTGGTTCACAGGGCACAATCTGACCCAAATTCACTTCTTCACTTGAAGAATCTTTACTCTAAACGGTAGAAATGTTTCAAAATGTAAAGGTGAGTGAAGTAAACTGAAAGCATTATACTAAACTGCCAATAAACACTAGCTGAGGTTAGTGAAAACATCCACCGTGCTAATAAACAGAGGAAACCAGATTGTCACAAAACTAAAAAGGATCTGGTTTTAAACAAGTCCCCGCTGATGAGATCTAAGTAGAACCGTAACTCCAACCCAGCACCTACTAAATCTTAGTCAAGCTAGCCTGTGTCTTCTCTCACTAGCTTATGACCTGTGTCATACGGATGTCCCCCCTCAAACTTGCATGTATATGGTACTGTAAGTTTAAAAGATTAAATGACTCAGTCAGTAAAGAAGTATGCACATAAATAAACTGGTTTTTATAGAAGAAAAGTTCAATTTGAGACCTGAATATCTAGATACACAATGATCTGCCATCTCTCTTAACTGGGAACACCAGCACTTCACAGACAACTGCAAAGATTTTGGCCAACACCCAAACTCACAGCCAAGGTCACCCATTCTAAGAACCCATGAACAGGATAACCACAGGCTTCAAAGTGTCATAAAATAACTTGAAAAAAAAAAACAAAGATTTTTTCTGTGCCCAACAGATTATAAAGGACCTGACTTAAAATGTACAATAAATGCACAAACACAAACAAAACAAAAATCCCCAAAACAAACCAATACTTCTTTATTGGAGAAAAGCTACCAGCCAGTAAAATGCAAAGAAAATCTGCATCACTAGGATCAATGTCTCCAATATATACAAACTCCTGAAGACGGAGAAGAAAAAGAGTAATGACCCAAGAGTAAAAATGGGTGGAGAGGAATAGATAGTACACAGGGTACCCAACATCATCCAAAACAAAATGAATGCAAACTACAATATTCTAAACTATAATTTGCCAAGATATAAAAAACAAAGCGCTGGCCACCAGGCCAAGAGGAATGAATATGCAGTTCCCCCATCTGCCCGGGACCCAGGGGTGCCCAAAGTCGCAGGCAGTGCTCAGTTCTGCGAATACTAGGATACACTGGAACTAAGCTTTTCCATGCATGTGATACATAGTGTATATGATAAAAATCAATTAGAAATTCTCAACAGTGACTAGTGGGTAGAATAATTAAGACAGGGTTCTGCAAGAGCAAAAGCAGAACTGAGTTTTCTTCTCCACAATTTCACGGACAATCCACTTATTTGTTATTTATTGGGAGGGAGTGTGAATCCAGAGCAAGCTCTCAGCCAACCAGCAGAGGGAACATTAAAAAACGTTATGTGCTCCTTAGTGTAGAAATAAAAATCTCTTGAAAAATTGAAGAAGAGTGGGTCTCAAACGCAAGGGGAGCGCAAACGTTTGGCGACCGTGTGTGGGGCTGTGCCCAGTGTGTGACATGCTGGTGTGGGTGTGGCTGTCAGACGGGACACACTTGCCACCACCTCTTTAACTTGCCTTCTTCCCACGCTTTCCTTTATGCCGCGCGTCCTTGCTGCCTTGGTCTACTGAAGAGCCCCAAGAGGCCGCCTGCCTGACATCGGCGGCGCCAGAAGCGTCCTTCCGTGGCTCAGAGGGGTGTCTTGCTCTCCCGGGGATTTGGAACTCATCTTCTCCTTCTGCTCCATTCCAGTTTGCCTGGAGCATAAAGGACTGGGCTTAGCTCAGCTGGCCTCTGCAGGACATTCCTCCAGGGACACCGCACCACGTGCCCATAACGCCCAAGTTCAGATGCCAGCCCTGACTGTACAGATAACTACCGTTGCTGTTTGCATTCGTGTGTGCGTGTGTGTGATTACCCGTGTGTGTCCATGGGTACCCATCCCATGGAGCACATGTGGCAGTCACAGGACAGTCTTGGGTGCTGGTCCTCACCTTCAAACCACTGTTGTTTTGAGAGGGCCTGTTGGATGCTATTTGGCCAGGAACATCTTGGATTCCCGGAGGTCTTGCTGCCTCTGCCCTGCTGCTTGACAGGGCTGTGCTGGGATTACAGACGCCAGTGCTAGCGTGGGCAGCCTTTAGCGCGTTCTTGGATCCACTCTTCCTCCTCGCGGGGCACGTGCCCCGCCCTCCAAGCCACAGCCCTAGACCTTGTTTTCTTCTATCTAAGCTTCTGCTTCACTTCCCTACCAAACCTTACAGGTCTTGAGTTCTTTGAGTTATGCAATGTGGCTGACAGTGCAGTTCAAAAGGAAAGGTGTAACGGACAACCGTTAGCAATTGTTCCTGTAGGTTACCTCTAAACTGACAATGCTACTGTTGGATTTAATTAATGCAATGATAAATCTGAGAATGTGCTCAAAGGCTGGGAATGAACAATGCTCATTTATAACTGCACTTTACTGTAGGAAGGGCCAAGAGTCTGCATTGACTGCTGCAGACATTGTGGTGGCATATATACTCTGCCGCGCGAGCCGCGTGTTCACTGTAAAAGTCAGAGTCAATACGTCTAGTTCACAACTGACATCCTGCAACAGCACAGAAACTAAAATAACATAGAGCCAAAGAGTAAAATTAAATGCAGCAGCATCCTGCAGCCCTGGAGTCTACTTAGTTTATTTCCTAAAGCCAGACAGCAAAGGCCCACAGACGTGAGGGCAAAGGCGGCCTGTACTAGGCCTGTGAGCACCCACAAGTCACTGCAGTGAGCATGGTGGATCTTCTTGTCAGCCTCACGGGGTTTAAAACCACCACGGAAACCTATCTCTGGGCACATCTGTGAGACATTATGAACCATGTTAACCGAGGCAGGAGACTCGCTCTAAATGTGGGCAGCACCATCCATGAGCTGGGGTCCTGACCAATCAAAAGGGCACAGGGGTCCTGGCTCCAGCACTCACTCTCTGCTTCCTGACTGCAGATGCAACAGGACCAGCTGCCTCCTGCCCCTGCTCCCATGCACAGCCCTGCGACAGTTACATCCTCCAAGTATGAGCCAAAGCAAAACTTCCCTTCTCAAGGCCTCCGGCCAGCTGCTTTGTTGCAGCAACAAGTAACTAATAGAGCACGAGGGCAGTGAAGCTGGGGTGTGGGCAGAACCACTCCAACACACTCCAGCCTTCACAAATGCCTTCCTATAGACACACAGGCAGTGCTGTACTCCACGGAGGTTATGCGTTATGGCAACATTGATTAAGTTACTGCATACACACACACACACACACACCTATATCCTTATTTTGCCCTAGTCCTGCTCATGGCACTCTGTCATTAACACACTTTAACTGGTTAATAAAAGAACTCAAATACCTGATGACTGAAGGAAAACAAAAGATTACACTGCCATGCTGTCAAATGAATTTAGCTGCAAGAAAATACTCATAATTTTTTTTTTAAAAAGGAGCTTTACCATGCTTATTTACTCAATTCCTTGGCTGGCAAACCCACAGACAGGGCAAACAGGTTAAATAAACAGGTTTTGTGGGTTGACTTTTATGGCTTGCATATGAAGTGTCTCCCAAAATGCTCTAGTGCTAAGAGTGAAGGTTTTGTCTCCAGTGGACGGACCCTGTCACTCAAGAGGGATTGTGCTGATGAGTCCGTGAAGTAATGTACTAACAGACATAACTGGACAGACTATGGAGACCTGGCAGAAACTGGAAGGTAGGCCTAACTCCAGAAGAGGACCTCTAGGGGCTGTGCATTTGAAGGGTGAATCTAGTCCTTGACCTCTTCCTCTGTCTGTCTCTCCTCTCCCTCGTTTCATGCAGACATGAGGTGAGCAGTGTTCCTCTGCCATGCCCTCTTGCCGTGTCTCTGCCTTGCCACAGATCTAAAAGTATGGCGCCAGCAGCCATGGACTAAAACTCCTTGAAAGCATGAACTGAATAAATGCTTCCTCCTCTGGGGACAAAATATTAACAAGCACAATGACCATATCAGTTTTTATTTGGCCTTCACTCACTATGAGAATAAAAAACATGGTGACCAGCAAAATCTCTCTTGAAACACCATTCATCCACCTAACATGTCCAAACAAACGCAGAGCTGTCCTCAGAATTTTACATCTTAAGCCAGCCTCACCGTGAACAGTAGTGTAACAGGCACCATTCACCGGGCATGGCCCCGGCTATCTGCCAGTGAGAGCTCCAGTTCCCACCACTGCCCGATGAGGGGACGTTATCCTCGATCCCGTGTCACGGTGAGAAAACCACAGGCAGAGCAGGTTGGTAACCGCTGAGGCTGACAGCTACCACACAGTAAATTTAACTCCAGTGCCTATAATCTGAACAATCAACAGCAGACAATTCTTGTCTCTATGTCATGAAGAAGAAGAAAAAACTCTCCCTGAAGCCTGTTGCTGGTCTTTGAAAGTGCATCTTTAGTTAAAGTTGGTTTACCTAGGAATTTGAGTTACCTGGAGCCGAAGGTCAGACATCTGTCTCAACAGATCCTCAAACAGCTCCCGGTCATCTTCTGGGAGCTCAGATGACAGAACGACCCCTACAAAGCACCCCGCGGCTTGTAACATGGTGTCTGGAAACATGTAGGCCCCCACGGTGCACTTCAGAACTGGTGACCTATCTGGAACTAGAGGGTACAGCCAGTCACACACCTGAAAGAGGAGAGACAAAGCTCCATCAGGGAATGGGTCTCCAAGGGATTGTTACAGAAAAAGCAAATCTGTCACAGTTTGATGCCTTTTATGGTTTTATAGACTCACCAACAGTAACCCCAACTTAAATAAACCATCCTCTACCTTGACCTTCCTGCATTAAGAATGGCTGTGAATGCTCCACTCACATAGTCTTACAGCGGTAGCCTTAAGAGCTCCTGTGTTTGACTAAAGATGACGCTAGCTTTAGATAAAAGGTGGTTAATGTAAACCGAGGGCCGATTTACAGCATGAAAGTATTTTCTAGTACAGTTATCTGATGATATCTGTTTAGTCCTCACAGCACTCTACCAAACTGGCTAGTCCTTTTCACTGTAAACAGGTAAATAAGACTATAAAACTGCACAAGCTAGCAGGGTAACCAGTGATGTTTTGATGAAGTTAAACATATTACATCCTCAGAAGCCCATCATTTCTTCACAGAGAAGCCTTGAATTAACCCTTTCCTCTCCCCTGTCTACTTTCCCCGCAGATGATGGGTTCTAGTGACCATCATCTTAACCCTCCCTGAACAGAATGACCTCCCACATTGTCGTCATCCCCATGAACACTTAGGTTGTTCCCATTGTGAAAATGGTGTGTCCCTGTCATTTTGTGACAAAAGCTGAGGCACAGCCTGGTCACCCGGGGTCTCAGCACTGACCACTAGAAAGCACAGGTTGCACCCGAGCATGGACTTTGTGTCAGAAACAGAGTCATTTAGTTAGGTTTTGCTTTGCCAAATGCCCAGGGAAGCTGACGTTTCAGACACAGAGTAGAACACTGTATGTCACTGGGACTGGGACACTAAAGTCAAATGATTCTGTGCTACCACCGGGGGAGGTCAGTTTGTCCCAACACACAGGTCTTTCTCGTGTATTACGCCCTCTAGCGACTGAAGTGTAGCTGTCCCATCCTTGGATTACCACCCACCATGAAAAGCCCAAGGGATTGATCAACCTACTGAAACAAAGGGAACTGACACATCGTCCCCTTCTGACCAGCAGAGGCAAAGACCACACCGCTCAAGGCTGACCAACTCCAGGAAAGGGCCTGAAAAACCATTTTCAAGATCTTTTTCATTTTTTAATGGATTTTCTTCTCTATCTCAAAAGATATCAATTTTTACTGTAGTAAAATTCATGTAGATTAGAAAACAGCTAACCACAATGTTTTCTAAAGTATGAAGTGATGCCAGGTAACTCAGAAATCTTATAAAAAAGTAGTTACTTAATATGTATTAGAAAATCTGCTTATTGCAAATAACCTTATTCTCATGTCATAAATATATTAATAATAATTTTAAAGCATAGGGGATTTTTACCTAATTTCTAATAGACAGCTGTTACTGTTTCTTCCTTGTTTGTTTTTGTTTTTTAGAATACATTCAGTAGACACTCTTCAGAACACTGCTACAAATAACTAATACGTAAATGACAGTTGATTAATTAAACACGGGGTACACTTCTACTTTTTAATTAGTACCCAAACACAAGGTATGTAAAACATTAAGAACCAAATCAAATCAAATAAGACAATTCAAACTACTGGTGGAGTCAGAGCATCTTTGTATCTAAGATCCAGCAGCCAGGGGCCATCTTTCTGATGTTCTCTTCCTCTGAGTCAAGGACCCAGAGAGCTCTTAGGTCTAGTAACTATGCAACACTGTTACCAGACCAGCAGAAACTCTCTGCAGTCCCTCCCTTAACTGCAGTCACAAGCCTGCACTTTTTAAAAACTCTAAAGCTTCCTCCTTGAGAGAACTGAGTCAATTCTTCCTGTCCAGTAATCCATCTTCCAACTGTGCCCCAGGAATCTGTTTTCACATCTGATTAGCTTCCAACTGTTGCTACATGACTTTCAAGCTGACTTCCATAAGACCAGGGGCAAAGCAGCGTAAGTCGGTGCCTAGCTAAATTACCCTTATCTGACTCTGGCTGGGCACAAGCAACAGCTTTGTTTAAACAGTAATCTCTCCGTGCCACAAACCTACTGAATGTACACAGTGCCCCAGTTTTCAGGAGCGCGTCTCCTGGTACCGGCATGCAAGCTTCTCACAGCACACTGTGGCTGCACTGAGCCCGAGCAGACCCCACTGAGCCCCCAGAAAAGCCCTGACACACATGTTGCTTTGCATTCGTTTTTACTCTTGGACCATTCTGGCCAGCCTATTTGCATTCCGCCCTCCAGGCCGGGGCTTCTCGGCCTCCGCCTGACTGAGGTTGAGGGATGGATAATGCTCTCCTGATGGGCTGTACCTGTGGTCACTGTGCAGTTTCGCTGGTTGCTCTGAAACACCAGGTAACCACAACCCTTCAGTTGTAAGGAAAACACTTTAAGACACTGTCAAAAATGGTCCCTCAAGGGGCAACCCTGCCCCTGGCTGAGTGGGTCTAGGCCAGTTCACGCCCCCAGGTGGGTCCTGATGTGTACAGGTACAGAGTCTCGTGATTCACATACATCCTTTTGAAATGTAAGTAACTACATGTCTTCTTCATGCAAAAAATAGCTTTCTAAGGTCGTAAAACCAACCACAAATAAAAACCCAAACCAGATTTTCTAACATTAAAAACAGAAGACATCCCAGCAAACACAAGCATGGGTGTGTTCAGAACTCAGTAGAATCGTGTTTCCCCCTGCTCTGACCCCGTGTTACAAACATCAACAAAAGAAAATGAGGTGTTCCACCTGTTTCTCGGCTTAAGCTCGCGCGTTGCTTCGGAAAGCTTACCTGGAGAAACCCAGGAGGGCGGTTCAGAACTGTATCCAGAGAATTATCCAAGAACCTCACGATGCGCAGGTACCCGGGGTACGACGGAGCACTAACCTCTCCCGCAGGGTTTACAAAAAAGATCTGCACTCCGTTTGGAATCAAAATCAGCTCGTCGGCATCGAGCCCCAAGGTCTCGAGAGGGGGCGGCTGGGAATGGTTCCTATAGAAGTCTTCTCCCACGGAGGAAAACTCCCCAGAGTCCGTTCCGTAGGAAACCGTATAGTGACCCTCAGCAGCCTGGGGGGTGTAGGCCGGGGGCGCTTCGGCAGGATGGCTGGGCGAAGGCAGGGGCCCAGCAGAGGGGGCAGCACTTGGCCCGGCGCTTGCAGCACCTGCAGCAGAGGTACTCCCATCTACTTCAGCGTGCTGGGGGACCGAATCTGGCGCTGGGGACTTCTTGCATGCGTCCTTAGGAGGGAACTCAGGGTACAACTTGGGCACATCCTGAAGATCACTCCGCAGAGATGTGGCGAGGCCCTTCTCTAGAATCTCTAGCCTGGTGCGGACGTTCTGAAGTGTTTCCTTCATTTTCCGCTGCATCTGTCTGGCAGACTCCCACGCGGGGCTGGTGCACCCTGGCTCTGCTGCCGTGACACTGATGCCCCTAAGCAGGTGTCCTATCCCTTGCTTGTAGTAGTTCTTCGCCTCCTCCTTCTGCCCTAGCTCATCCGCGTTCAGTCCTTTATTGACAAACAAAAAGGCCTTCTCGTATGCTTCCTTGATGATCTTAATCTCAGCGGGGTCTCCATTTTCTGCCTCTCGCTCCATCTCTGCAAGACAAGAGCTGTCACCTGCCATTGCCCAGTTAGTGGGTTGTGTTCTTAGCCCTCGTTCCTACACAGAACACATTTCAAGGGGAGGGTCTGCCTCACTGATCTGTCCTGCCCCCAGTCCTCCAGAGAGAGCATTCAGTAAGCACTTCATAGTTGATAAATGAATGTTCTTGGTGCAAAGCTACTGTAAAGAGGGCTGGAGAGCTGGGCCAGAGTTCAGCTCCAGGGGGATCTGAGACGCTAACCCCAGGGCAGGGCAGGTGGATCCCTGGGGCTCACTGGCAGGCTAGTGGTCTACTTGGTCAGCTCCAGATCCTATCTCAAACAAAAGGAAAAAACCAACGTGCTGGCCCCTAAGGAACACCACCACAGCTGACCTCTAAGGGAAAAAAATCCGTAAGATAAAAGATATACAAAGGACAACCCCCCAAGAAAATGAGCTTTTAGACTTTTTCTCTCAGTCTCTTAGTGGGACTTTAACTGTTATGCCCAGGACTGTAAGACAAAAAGCAGCCATGTTATAATACTGCTGAGAGATACGGAAACACCAAGAATTGGGTCAGAAAACCAATCCAAGCTGCCTTTGGAAGGAGAGAGGCTGGTTTACAAAGATATTTAATTCTTTATGTACATGGTGAAAGGTAAGTTACTTACTTTACAAAATAAATACAAGCCTTGCAGCAGCCTTGTCCAGAAGGATTACAAAATTAATTATTATTTTCCAGGAACCACTAACAAAGTAAAAGAAAACAGGTGAAATGTCAATGATAGCTTTTATTTATCTAATAAAACCAAAGTATTATTCTGACACATATAAATATGATTTGTGGAGTATTGTGTGTGTGTGTGTGTGTGTTATGTCTTCCAAAGACAGCCTATGCTGTGTACTTCAAAGTGTACGTCAAGTCCAACATACTCCACAGCAGACTCTCGACACCCGCATGAGCCCATGCTGGGCACTATGGGCTCCTTACAGCTTCTGGGGCAGGAAAAGAAAAATCAAGGGACAGAAGAGTACCTCCATAGCTGTCTACACAATGAAGGTGTCACAACAGACTTTAACAGTCAGCTTCTCAGAACTGAAAAACAGACAGGCCAATAGCTGGCCCAATCACAGCAACTTTGCGGTAATGGATAAAACACACTCAGCCCCGAACTCAGAAAATATCACACACACACACACACACACACACACACACACACACACACACACACACATACACACACACGGTCATATACAAACTGATATTTGCCCTCTCCCGGTGTCACTACTGAAATCAACCCCGCACTTTCCCTGGAATTATATCCCTCTATGTCATCATAATGCCACAGGCTTCCATAGACCCCAACCACTTTCTCCTCCCAGACGCCACAGGACAAATGTTCCACAGTTCACGTTTCTTGGTACACAAGGAGTCATGAACTCCGAAGTGGACAACCTTCTAAAAACATCATCTACCATCTATGTAGGGCTGGGCTGCATTCATGGTTGCCTATGCTGGGCTGGGTGTAGTTTCAGAATAAAACAGTGAACCAAGCACTGTCCGGTCATATTCTTGAGGAAAATGTTTACGTCTTGAGAAGATTGAAACGTTGGTGATGATTTCATATGCTTTAATTCTCCAAGTTTGGAAGGATAAAAGCCTTTAGAATGTCAATCTGAAGTATTAAACGGTGCTTCGTTAACTTGATATTCAAATCAACGGTGCTTTGTTAACTTGATACTCAAATCATGAACTAATACCTGCTTCCAGATAACAATGGTAGACTTTTAAACGTTTTTCTTTTCTTATCTGTGTGTAAACAAATCTGTGTGTGAAATGTTGGCGGAAATGTGCCCCAGGAGGTCAGAGGACAACACTGGGTATACACTTTGTCTAGGATAGTTTTTCCCCCCCTGCTCCAGAGACAAGGTTAGCTTTGGGGGAGTCTCAGGCCTCGCTTCTGCCTTCCCTCTCCCAGGAGGAGGGCTGAGGTTACAGTTTTACACAGTTTTGGGGGGATCTGAACTGAGGTCGTTGGGCATATCTTTAAACTTAGCCATCCCTCCAGCACCTACTTCAAGCATAGCTGCATGCATGCGTGTGTGTGCGTGGTTCACTTTGTACTAACAGAAGTAAAATTGTTTCAAAATACTTGGAAACTGGGTTCCACTCCATGACAGAAAAGGTAGCAAACCATGGTGCTCAAGGTAAACACAGCTAGCAACAGAAGTTCTGATGCCAGCATGCCTGACCTGTTACAAAAAAGGGGATGGGAAGGGTTTGTTATTTAAATTATATACTGACAAATCACACACACACACACACACACACACACACACGTTTACAGGGCACAGAGACAGTGCAGTCTGACTTTTGAACTCCACAGGTCTTTTAAAGGTCTGGTTTTATTATTTTAAATTATGCACATGTGGGGAGGGGAAGGTATGTGCACCTGAGTGTAGATACCCAGAGGCATTGGGATCCCCTGAAGCTGAATAAGAGGCAGTTATAACACAGAGATGGGCCCTGGGAACTCAACTTGGGTCCTCTACAAGTGAAGTACCTGTTATGGGCTGAGCCATCTCTCCAGCCCCATTATATTCTGATTAAAAAAAAAATATGGAATGACAAAACAAAGCTAATTAACTTACTCAACAACCCCAGATATATGACAATAAAAAACGAAAACAGCTGAGATTCAGTGTACAATATTCCATGATTAGCTACGGTCAGCTGACGGTACTAAAATCCAAAAACTACATCACTTACTCCTATCCCGGTAGGGAACATGGACTGATACTCGGGGTGGGTTTCTAGTCGACTCCTGTACCATTCTAGCCAATTCTGGCTTGCTAGAGAACTGTGTGTTCCAGAAAGCACCACGAATGGGCAGCAAACCACATTCCACATTAGTATAGAGGTTTCCCGTTTCAAACAAGCCCTCCACAGGCACCAATTAAGTCAGGGAAGAGCACGAACCAAGAAGAGCAGTTCCCCGGGAATTAGGAACACTCTTCTACCGACTTATGGAGATTATATTTTAAAAAGTTATCTAACAAAAATTAGAAGGCAAAATCGTTAAGTGTAGAATACAACAAAGCGAACATCGAGGCTCATCAAGAAATAACCACCATGGGCGTAATGGAGCCACTACACTAAAGGCAGTAATGCAGCGTCACAAAACCGTGCGCACGCACTCCAGAGAAAACTTTTTCCAGCTATGAAGTTAGGCCGCTGGGGTCCTCGGAGACGCTGGGTGCGAGTAGCCAGTGTATCTCAATGAGCAAAACTCCCCACACCACCCATCTCCAGGGCTGTGGCTCCTGGGGCTGGCTGCCCGCCATGGGCTAGGGGCAGGCCCCGGGGAGCGAGAAAGCCAGGGCGGGGGGGGTGGAAAGAGGGCGGTGGAGTAGGGGTCAGGGATGGGAGGACTCCGATGAGGACTTCGCAGGGACCAGGGATGGGAGGACTCACACTGGGGACGAGCGAGGACCAGGGCTGGGAAGACCCGCACCGGGATGCGGGATGCGCGGCGGCGTCCCGGGGCGGGAGGACCGGGGCCAGCGCCGCGGAGGGTGCAGGGAGGGCCAGGGCTCCTTCGGCGCTAGCCGGAACCCCCTCTGCGGGACTTGTGCAAACTTGGGCGGCTGCAGACGGGCTCCCTGCTGGGTGCCGGCGTGGCGCGGGCCGCAGCCCCACAGCCCGCGGCGATCCCTCGGCCAGCCCCGGCTCACAAAGCCCCGAGTGACGCCCTCTGTGTCCCCGCCCGCCCCCGCGTCACCACACCCGCGCCGAGCGGAGCTGTGGCCCACTCTGACCTTCCAGAAGGCGCCCCGGAGGCCAGCGGTCCGCTCCGAGCCCGGGAGCCCGCCGAGAGCGAGCCGCAGACACCCGACAACTCTCTGGCCCCGGCCAGGCCCCGGCCACGTCGGACCGCGCCTGCGCACTGCGTACCGGCCGCCCTGGGGCCGCTGGAGGGACCCGCAGAGCCGCGGGCCATGACAGCCTCTGACCGCCAGGGGGAGCCCTGGGGCGAGCACTGAGGACCTAGAGAATTAAGGTGGACTGGACCCTGGGACCCTACCTGACCTGTCATGCAAAGTGTTAAATCTGTTGTGACACAGGGAAAAAAAAAAAAAAAACTAGGCCTGGGAGTGGAGCCTAGTTCAGCAGCGAAGAAGAGGTCGTTGTTTCTTGTTTGAATCTCTAATGCATATAAAACATACCTCAGCAATTTATAAAGGCAGCAATCAAAAGTGAATAAAGGGTTTGAGCAACTATTTCTTCAGACAAGGCATACAGACCACCAGAGAGAGCATCAAGAGATGGTCTTCAGGCTTACACTAGAGTGAGGTGTGGCTTCTGTCTCCTGACCATGGCTGTACTCAAAACGTAGGCATAACAGGTTTGGCAAGATGGTTTGGCAAGATGGTTTCGCAGCCCTCCTGCATTACCGGTGGGAATTTTAAGTAACCAGAAACAGCACGTGCATCAAGTCTACCCTTAGTTGGAATTGTGCCCACGAGTACTCATTTGTCTTGATTCAAATAACTGAATGGGTATTATAAAACTCCTTTTACTCTCTTGACATCACCTGGAGTCACCTATCCAGGGTCTCAGTGGGGGATGGTCTGAGTTAAGTTGATGTGTATGTGTGGGGTGTCATAGGTTAACTGATGTGGGGAGACCCAGCCCACTGTGGGCAGCACCTTTCCCTAGGCAGGGAGTCCTGAAAGACTGGAGAAATTGTGCTGAGCTCAAGCAATCAGCCTATCCATCCAAGCATCCATCCCTCCCTCCATCCATCCATCCCTCCATCCATCCATCCCTCCATCCATCCATCCATCATCCATCCATCCCTCCATCCATCCATCCATCATCCATCCATCCATGCATCCATCCCTCCATCCATCCATCATCATCCATCCCTCCCTGCTCTTTACTGTAGGTGGAATATGTCTCGCTGCTTGAGGCTCCTGCTCACTCCCCCATAACAACGAATATAACCTAGAATAGTGATCTAAACCAAACCCCTTTCTCTCACAAGTTGCTTTTTGTTGAAATATTTTCTCACACATGAAACTAGGACATGCTCCTACCTATTTTATTTCGGGCAGATTTTGTTACAGCATCCTGCCTCAGTCCTTTGAACCTCTTTCAGATTATATGCTCCAGACAATGCCGTATCCACACTGTGTCGATGCAATAAATCCATTTCTTCAGGCAATAAAAAAATTGGATCATCTGACTGAAAAACTATTTGCTACCAGCTAATTATATTTATTCACTCACTCAGTTTCTAGGAACTACTTCAAAAATGACTTTACAAAGATTGACAGCTTGGAGTGGTTTGTGACCTGGTATTTCCAGAACGCCATGTCTTCAAATTAATGTCTTCGTCCTCTAGTGGAGTTTAGAAGGAGGAAGCACCCCACATATTTGCAGCCATCCCCCATAACACCCTACCTTCAGAAATACATGGAGAGGTGCTGGGACCCTTCTTCTTTGGGAAGGATCATTTACCAATGACTGGTCATGGAGTCTGTTCTTGGCTGAAACAGTCTGGGGTGGTTTCCCTCTCAGTGACCTGGTGAGAGAGAGGGAGATGGGTAAATGAAGGAGAGGCAGAGAGAAGGAGGGGATGAAGACTGCATTCAAATTTCAAAAACTTCCGCTCTTCTTACTGAGTTTTAGATTTTGTTGTTGTTGTTGTTTTTACGAGACAGGGTTTCTCTGTATTGTTTTTCGAGGCTTGAGAGAGTTTTAGATTTTTAAAGGGATGTCTCTTCATCACTGCATGCTCTTAAGAAGTTTTTAGAGACTTGAATTTAAAAAATAGCATTTTTTCTGGGAGTCTACAGAGTCCCCCAAAAGAAATTCCCCGTATCCTGAATTTTAATGGCTTCAAAGAAAAATGTGTAGCAAATCCAAAATTGGGGTAACGGTTTCATCGGAGGCTTTACCCTAATCAACTTTGATCAGTGTGATAGTGCCAACAATGTGGCTGCCTTCCTATTTTAAACGCTCGGCATGATACGTATTGCTTGGCTACCCATGAGGGTTCTTACTTTGCTCGGACTCCTTCTAAGCCAGCTCCCAATATGAGTTCTGTGGTCGTATACATTTTGGTAAAATCCAGGGGCTTTTCCCAGTTAAAACTACTGACTTCGAATCTGGCTTCCTTTCTTGTCCTGGATGTCAAAAAAGAAATGTGGGTATATGGGGATCTGGACAAGAACTTAAGCTGGGTATGTTTAGTCTTTGTTTGTTTGAGATAAATTTATGTTCACTATGGCTTCTATGTATGACTAAGCTATTGCTAGCCATAGTGGTGAAACACTGACTTCCAGGACTATCCTGACTACCCACTGCAGGCTCAAGGGACCCTGTGTAACCCTGCTATACACGACACTGTCCAGGGGCCACACTGATCTTTCATATTACATCCTGCAAGTCAAGTGTCTCTCATCCAAGATGCATGAGAGCAGACATACCTCAGGTTTCATATATCTTAAAATTCAGAATATTTGCACAGATATGATAAGGTATTATGGAGATGAAGAGAACTAAATTTAAACAAAATTAATTTATGTTTTATGTATAACTTACACACACATAGGCTGAAGGTAATTTTATGCAGCCTTAGTGCGTTTACATCTTGGCTGTCATTTATCAGATGAAGAAGTTTACCCTTTGTACAACGGTACTAAACACTTTCCGATCCTGTACCAGTCCAATCTCCAGATAGGGGTGACTAACCTGTACAACGTTCAGCAGCATGTGAGTGGAACAGAGACCAGGAATGAACTGCATGGTGTCAAAAATCAGTCTAAGGAGAATGAGTCCAATTGATAGGCTCAGAAAAACACTAGCAGAGGCACTGGTTTTTTCATCAGTACCTTGTCAAATCCTCTGTTAGCAGTCTTCCATTTTGTGAGGAGATGGCTCAGTGGCTAAGGGCATTTGCTGAACAAACATGAGGACACCGGTTGGAGTCCCCAGCATTGATATGATAGGCTAAGCATGGCCATGCCACGGCCCTGTGACCCCGTGGATGACAGGATTGTGTGGGCTTGCTGGACTCTCACTCCAGGCTCAGTGAGAAACCCTGTCTCAGTAATGTTGAATAATCACAGAGCAGGACACTAAGTGTCCTCCTCCAGTCTTTGCAATTCACACGCCACCTACCCGCCCCCACACTAATAATTAACTCAGGATTATCAATAATAAATTATGAAGCTAAAACGAACTTTCCTAAATTCTGTACATAGTCTTGACAAGCAACACTAAGGGAGATGGAGTTTGCTTATTCATTTACTCTCTCTAGAAACCTTACAAAGTTCCCTAATGAGGGTTACGAAAAGGAAGGTTATGTAGACCAATTAAATTCAATAGTGTGCATTTGAGCAAAACGAGCTGCTGTGTGTGTGGGGGGGGCAGAGCTATAGCAGTTTCTGGGGAACCCAACATGATCTGAAGGCGCTTACAGAAAACCAATGGCAGCCTAGAGCTACGGAATGAGTTCTGCTCAGTCAACCACCCAATCGGTTACAGTTTAACTAGTCAGTTACAGCTCAATTAGTTAATTAGTTACAGGGCCTTTTGCAACCCAGCAAGTCCAACTTTCTAGAAAACTAAATTTGGACCAATACTGTTTTCCCAAGCCAAGCAGAGGCGTCTGACTGTTTTATTTCATACTCCGGGGGCTGGAGAGACAGCTGTGTTTAAGAGCACTGGCTGCTCTTGTAGAGGACCTACATCCAGATCCCAGCTCCCTCATGCTGGCTCACAACCAATCTTTAACTCCTGTTCCAGGGGATCCGACACCCTCTTCTGGCCTCCATGGGCACTGCACATATGAGGTGCATATAACTATATTCAGGCAAAAAACCTGTGGAAAATAAGTACCCTTTAATTTTATAATTTCTCATGGACCAATCAGGTGACTGCCCCCTCACAAAAAGATGAAAGCCCCAAAGGTTTTTATAGTGGATTCCAGACCCCAGCAAGGGCCTGTCAGAGCTAGATTCCCACCCCTTTCAGACCTGTTACTCTGCGGGAATTTGTTCTGCACTAACCACTGTAAACACAGCACGAATGTATGTATGTATGTATGTATGTATGTATGTATGTATGTATGTATGGTTTCCATGCATCATCCTTGAATCCCATCCAAACAGCGTGCAATGAGATTTATTGACAGGAAATGTGGCCAAGGTCTCAGCTAGTTCCAACTACAGTTTGAACTGGAGTGTGTGGTTTTAAACCTTGACCATGCCTGGTGTTCTTTATCCCAAGAGGTGATATATTTTATGAAAACTAGAGAGGTCTTTGTAAAGAAAGTAATGTTGCCAAAGGAGAGGAGGTAACGGGCATATTTAATAGCCTGGCCTATCAGAAGAGCCTGCATTTGAATCTTTACCCCTTGCCTACCACCAGCTTGGACTTAGGCGACCCACTTACCAGCCTCAGAACTTCACTTCCTGATGTGTATAATTGGGATCGCAGTGATCTCTTCAAAGGCTTATGCTCGGGATTAAATATAATATATGCAAAGCTCTGACTCTGGGTGGAGGGAACAGATTGCCAAGCAGTCTGTGCTGGAGCCCAGACCCTGAAGCCCAGCACCCACACGGAAACTCCGAGTCTGCTGCTAATCTCTGGGACCTTGGGCCAGCTTGCTCTGATCACTCGCACCTCCATTTTCTGGCTGCTAAAACACAGCAATGACAGCAAAACCCCGCTTCCTGTCTGTGTGCCTATCGGAATGACTGGCAGAGTATATACACAAAGCTGGGGTTTTGTTTGTTTGTTTGTTTTGTTTTAACAAACCTCTTTGAAGGGGTTGAGAGAATCCTGGTTCAATTTCCAGCACCCACATGGCGGCTCACAATCATCTGTAACTGCCATTCCAGGCGATCTGATGCCCTCTT